CCCCAGTTATAGTCTATAAGCTGTGACCCCCCAGTTATACTGTCTATGAGCTGCGACCCCCCAGTTATAGTCTATGAGCTGCGACCCCCAGTTATAGTCTATAAGCTGTGACCCCCCAGTTATAGTCTATGAGCTGCGACCCCCCAGTTATAGTCTATGAGCTGCGACCCCCCAGTTATAGTCTATGAGCTGCGACCCCCCAGTTATACTGTCTATAACATTTTAAACCAACTTAAAGAATTGTCTCCGCTGAAATAACTGTGGAAGCCCAATTCTGCCAGTTAAAAACATAAAAATGAAAATAATAAAGTCGAAATAATGAGATAAAAAGTCAAAATTAAGAGATAAAAAGTCATAATTATGAGATAAAAAGTCAAAATAATAAGATAAAAAGTCATAATAATTAGATAAAAAGTCAAAATAATGAGCTAAGAAGTTGAAATTATGAGACTTTATAATTTATTTTTTTACTGGCGGAAATGGGCTTCCATAAATATCATTACTGAAGAGTGTGAAAGCTGCCTTTCTCAAACACGTTTCTTTGAATTAAAGATGTTTCTTGGTGGTGATTTCATCCTGCACGATAAGGAGATCAACATATAAAGCTGAAAATGCATGTTTGCATTTATTAATTAAAATGTTACATAGAACCAACAGACATTAATCAAGACATTTCGATGGATTGATGCATATTAATAAATACGTTTTCTGTTTACCAACTTTTTGAAGTCTGTACAGCAGGGATGATCAACTTTGATCACAGCAAGGGGCCACATTCATTTACTTCTCACTGCCAGAGGGCCAAATTGTAGGATACAAAAATAATTACAGTCAATTATGTCTCAAATATAACTCAACACATACCAGGGATCAAATATTATCATGGACATATTTCTGGTTTTCATGATTTCATGGCAGATTTCTTCATGTTTTCTTCATGTTTCCAATTAATTGATGTGTAAAAATTGACCTGAGGGCCACGTTGAGGGTTAATGGGGGCCGCCAGTTGCCCATCCCTGCTGTACAGTTATGTATACTTAGTACATGAAAATAAAATGCTAAAAAAATGTCAAAGTACTCTTACAAAGTGTAGACAACAAACCAAGTAACTGCCATACTATTCCATTTTGCAAATGCAATTATATGTCAAGTTGTAGTGCAGCTAAGGGTTGGGTAATGTTGTAGTGTTCATTTAGTCAGCATACTAACTAACATGAAAAGGAATGTGGACCTGAAGACCAGAGGGAGTCAAATATTAAGTGTTTTAGCATCAAGCAGTTCATCTGCATAACTCCACTATAATGAGATCATTTGTGATCGAAAATGTGATAATGAAAATTATTTATCATATTATTTATGTATTGAATTTTTTCTCAATAGTTTTGAGGATGGTTAACATTTCCTTAAAGCAGTTATGCTGCCTCTGTAACTAAACTGTTTCCCACATCCTGTCGACACTTGTTGCATCGTACCAGAAGTACATACGTATATAATGTGAGCTTTAGTCTCCCGTCCTTGTCTTCAAAGGATGGTTATATTCACAGTACAGCTGTGTGAACAACTGCTTTTTGGTAATGATAAGTCCAATACACGGTCTCTAGTTGTGTATGTAAAGCTGATATAAAATAGACCTCTGGTTTAAAAAATTAACAAGGGTTGTTGTTTGACAAACTAGTCATAATATGTGCACACACTACTGGAATTCATAGGAAACTGCTTTAAGATATTCTGCTTCATGGCAGCATGTGTGTAAATATTATTGTGCTAAGTTAACTAAGGTTTTCTATTATCACTTTTTCAGTTGTGAATAATGTCTGAACAAGAGTTGGATGATATTGTGCAGATAACAGTAGAGGACTTCAACCAGGATGCCCAAACAGGTAAGATTCCTGTGGTACAATATAACAACTTATAAATGTTCTACGTTTTCTTATCAGTTATATGAACAGGAGCTTCCTTCAGTCTGTGCTGTCAGAAAGTTGTTTTGATCATGTATTTGTCTCTTGTCAGAAATGCTGGAAAATCATGATGATGATGAAGAAAGGCCTCAGAAGAAAAGGAGGAAATTAAGCAGCAGCCAGGAGAATAACAACAATTGCCAAGACATATCTTTTATTAAGGTACCAGCTTGGTGAAACATCCACTCTCCAAAGCTCATCCATTTTAATGTACTTAAATCAGTGGAAAAATGATTCATACATTTTGGGACTTTTCAGGATAAATCACACATGTTTGTTATTTCTATTCCTAGAATCTGTTGGTTTCATTCACTGCATCAATCACTCAGAGACTAGAAGGAATTGAGTCAAAGTTACAGGCTCTGGACACAACATGCAAGGCCCTTGGACGGAAACTGGACAGCATGATGCCCTGTGCAAAAAGTCCTATCCAGGTCCCTATGGTTGCAGGGTCTCCTCAGGGGGCCACTCAAACTTGGAACAAAGTGCGATGGTAAGTGATCGCCAACCAGCATCACTTTTTGCACTCATTAGAAATGGTCCAAATTCAGGTTTAGGATTAATGAAGGAGGTAAATTATAGGTGAAAACATATATTAGAGTGGCCAAAGCGTGCTAACATGTGATAATTAACAAATGTGTTTAACTTCTCCTTTAGTGTTGTTCCTCAAACAAATGTAATAGTGAGCAGTGAAAACCCGAAGGGCACTATCCAAGAAGACACTCCTCTGGAGAACCTACTCAGCAAGTAAGTGGCTAATTTTTATACTATACAAATCCTTCCCATCCCATTTTTTCTAAGATTTATTTTTGGGCTTTTTGTGCCTTTGAATGGAGAGATAGGACAGTGGATAGAGATGTAAATCAGGGAGCGAGAGTAGGGAATGACATGCAGGAAAGGAACCTGGGCGGCCGCTTGGAGGACCACAGCCTCCATACATGGGGTGCGCGCATTGTGCCTTTTAAACCATACTTGGAGTTTTTATTTCTTTGACAAAACCGTAGAATTTATTGGCTTCTCCAGCTCTTGTTATAGGAAATAGATGATACAAAATTTGAATTATTCATATGACCACTGCCATGTTTTTTGAGTGTGCTGGTCCTGCTGAAAACGTATCCCTGTTTCATTTCAGCACGGTGGCAAGGAGGCGACAGAACACAATCTTAGTAAAGGTTCCTGGTCCTGAGGAAAGCCAGGAAGACCAAGAGAGTGGCTCCGAGGCCAGTGACTCTGTTTCCAATGGTGGAAATTCCAACACGCCAAATGTCACGCTCATCACACTGAATTCAGAGGGTATGATGATTATTAATTTATTATTATCTGTCAGGGGATAGAAATAAGAATTTATGCTCTTTTGACCGGCTTCTTCACAAGCAAACCCTTCCTTTGCTTGATTGAGGCTGTTGATCAGATTATTGGTTTGGAATGACTCCATAAAACCAGCAGAGTTGAGTTACCCACCTCACAAAAAAACAAAAAGGTGTTGCAATAAGATGCTCAGGGCATGTGTCAGTTTTGGACGACTGAAAAGGGTTAAACTTGAATTTTGGTCAGGCCTCCAGATGGATAAACTTTTTTTGTTTTCCTCTCAGATTTGATAATCTGATGACCTCCTTAACGCCCTGAGCCATTGTACTTCAAAACAATGACATTTTAGATGAGATTGGGTTAAGTTATTTTGGCTTAAGTGACTCTTTCAGATGGTCTCCATATTGAATGGCAAGCAAACTGTGCTGATGTGTCATGTTCATGTCATTTTGGTTATGCCTCGGGCTTCATTGATAGGTATTTTTAGATTTTCAGTGATTTTGTTTATTGTTCTGGCTGAGCCTGAAATAAAATGGTTAATTTCAAATCCTGTAAACTTAAATGAGGTCACCATTGTTGTTAATTTAGTACATTTTTGATTAGGTTTTTTTAATTGGATTTACGCAGCTCATGGTTATCTTCAAAGACAAACTATTATTCATTTATTTGCAGCTGTGGGTTACCATATTAAAACTGTGTTAGTCAGCATAAGCTAGATGGTACCATGTGGGGTTCAGAGCGTGTCCCATGCTTTGTTTGTCCGTTTGTTTATGTGGTTAACCTAACATCTAACATACGCTGTGAGAAAACAGCCAAACCACATATTGTGCGGTAACAATAAGACAAGTTTGCCCATAATATGCCTATTGCCTTTACAGCCACATGAGTGCGCTGTTGTATAACATGAGCATCTCTGTCTCTTTATGTCAGTGTTGTCAACCTGTGTATGAATACAAACCTCTTCTTTTTTTGTGTGGATCGTTTTGTTTCCTTCGGTCAAGGAAGACTCATTAGAATTAAATAACTTCCCAGATAACACAATTTTAAACAGGTTTCAGGTTTGCCTAAAGACAGTTTTGTGTAATTGTTTGAGTAACTGTTCCCCTCTATAATTCCTATAGAGGATTACCCAGCAGGCACCTGGTTAGGAGATGAGAACAACCCAGAGATGCGAGTCCGCTGCCCAGTGTCTCCGGCTGACATGATTCACATCACCTCAAACTGTCGCACAGCTGAGAAAATGGCCCTGACGCTGTTGGACTACCTGTTTCATCGGGAGATCCAGGCCATGTCAAACCTTTCTGGCCAGGGCAAACATGGCAAGAAGCAGCTGGACCCGCTCATGATCTACGGCATTCGCTGTGAGTCTCTGTGCATCTCATGTTGCCAAGTGTTGTTGATTCCATGCCAGCTGCTTCACATTGTGAGAAGTTCTTGAATAACGTGGAGGAAGACCTGATGGTTAACAGTATCTCCCCTTCAACCAGATAAAGCAGCATCTTTAGAGTACTGACAGAAGCCACAAAGGCTTGGAAATACATTTAGAACATGCTCCTGTCAAAACTGGTGTTGCTGTTTCCAGTCTGTTATTACCTCATTGACCAATGACACACATGCAGTTTAGAAAATCTAGTTTAGTTTACGATTAGTACCTGATTGTTGAAAGTTAAAATTAATACATTTCACTCAGCCACGTTTTAAATGTGTGCCCCCCTTAAAGCAACAAATGAACTCTCTGAGACCTTCCCACATTTCATCCCTTTTTGATTACGAAGCAGCATCAAATTGAACACAGAAATAGACTGCAGTCTGTGTTCCCAAGGCGGGGTTACAACAACATGCATTCATCATTGCACACATGCAGAAATGTGCAGCACATTTTACAACATGCCAGACTCTAAACGACAAGCACATGTCTGCTACAAAGGTCCTAATGGAGTCACTCTCAATCCGGCAAACTGTTTGATTCCTGATAAAGCAAAGTCAGGTTTATGGCTGCAGACAGACTGATAAAAAAAGTTATTTGGTTATAAACTCTGTGTATTAGGTTAATATTGAAGCACAAGGAGAGGCTTTATTAGCTGTAGCTTTTCCTTCAGAGTGCAGCTTGCGCCCCCTGCAGGAGATACAAAACTGTTTGTGTACTTGGTTACCTGTATTTCCTCTGAGTGATGTGGGTGTGTGCGGTTAAATGCAGATTTGCCCTGACATCGAGGTATGCAGAAGCTGGAGCAGGGCCAGGTGACTTTTGGGTGACTCATACTGCCTTTCCAGAAAAAAAATGAAAATGAATGAAGGAGCAACTGCTCTGCCTGCTTGTACATGACCCATCACGTATGAAAGGGCTGCAGTTCACTTCCATCCCCAGATACCCCTTAGCTTTCTCACCATCTTATTTTTCTCTCCAGAGGCTGTATCTGCTTTTTTAAATGTATGTAGGAATAAGCTGTCAAGTCCACTCACCTCCTTTGAACAGTCCATTACAGTGAGGTAGGCAGTTCCTGCAGCTGCATCCAGTATCACCTGCACAGAACTAAACTCAAAAAGTGAAGTGACACTTTTATAAACCTGTGATTAAATTTCATGACGTAATCGCAGTCAGACAGTTGTTTCCTTCATTGTACATGAATTACAGAATGACTAGCTTCTATATATTGTAGTGACATTGTCTGCTGCTTTATTTAAAGATCACAGTTGGCATTTACTTGGGGCCCTATGCATGGACAGAATCAAAAAATTTGACTAGGAAAATGGAATTAAAACTAAAATGCAGAATATCATGGAATTTGCTGAAATGTGGGTGCCATTTACAAAAATCTGGGTTTTGTGTACCAATGTAAGTAAAGTGTTTTTTAAAGCGCCTGACCTTAATGAACAGATTAAAACTATGTTGAGAGTCTCTACCGTATTTTGGCCGCTGCAGCTCTCCTGTCAGCCTGTCTGTGTGTGACTTCACACGACAATATATCCAGAACTCCACTGCTCATCTTCTCACACACTCCCGTAGCCGTGACCACATCACCCCTGTACTTCATAACCTCCACTTGCTCCCCATCCCCCAGCGTATCCACTTCAAACTGGTCATCATCACCTGTAAAGCCCTCCATAACCTGGCTCCCCTCTACCTATCTGAGCTCCTCTACCGGCACACTCCTGCAGAACCAACCATCGGTCCTGGGGGACTGGGCCATCTCCATTTCTGCTTCCACCCTCTCGAACTCACTCCCAAAAAACACCAGAGACTCCCTCAATCACTACATTCAAGAAATCCCTAAAACTCAACTCTTGAACATCGCCTACAACCACTAACAGACTCTATTCTCATCCTCCTTCTATTACATTTTGTCTTTGTTGTTTTGTTTTCACCGTTTTGTTTTGTTGTTATTCTTTGTTAAGCTTCTTTGAGTACTAAAAATCGAATGCATTATTATTATTATTATTATTATTATTATTACTTGTTTCCACCTAAGGCGGGTCTAGTCTCCCCCACAGGGACAGAACATGGTGAACATGCCATCTGAGAAGTCAAGAAATGCGACGCTAAGCTCTTAGTTTAGAGCAGAACAATATCCAAACCTTCTGTGATTTATGGAAGCAACTTTTCTTTAAGTTTTGTCTGCATACGATTAACTGGACCTGCAAGAATACAAGCAATGACCAATTACAAAAAATGGAAAATTCAAACAGATTTCATGGTGCCCTGGATTTCAGGATTAAGAGTACTAATATGTTTACTGCATACATAATTTATTCATACAAAAAAATTACCTACAATAATATTTTGCCTACAAAACATGCAGTGGACATTTATTGCGCCTACTCTATAAGTTTTCCCTCCATTGTTGTTGAAACACTGTTTGGCACTTTTGAGACTGACATGAGCAGGCAAAGCACATCAGGGAATATATCCAAGGCAAAAGGCTCATTAAAACACTAAAAAGAAAGACAACCTGAGGATGCGTCTTGGTGATATGATAGACCTTTTCATGTTTAAGCCATCAGTATTTGATTACTGACATTTGATTAAGTATGTGATAACCTTTGCCCCCTCTGTTTCTCCACAGGTCACTTGTTTCACAAATTTGCCATCACTGAGTCAGACTGGTACCGCATCAAGCAAAGCATAGACTCCAAGTGTCGCACTGCCTGGAGACGTAAACAGCGCGGCCAAAGTTTGGCTGTCAAGAGCTTCTCCAAACGCACACCTCGTTCATCTTCAGGTAAAGTTCAGTTTATTGTTAGATGGCTGAAAGGCATGCATTTGTCTATGCAGGTCAAGTGTTGCAAATAACAAGTAAAGTAGTAACTGACAATGAGTGAAACAAGTTAAAAACTGGATCAATTTTGAATACAAAAGCCAAATCCTGCACTTTTGTGAATTTTTGTTTAAAAAAATCAAAGCACTTTGAAACCTTAAACACATTTCTTGTGAAATGCTTAGGGAGTGTGCATGTTTAAATTGATCTGTATGGCTTTGAGAAAACCAATTCCAACTCTTTCACCTTTCATATGACAGATCAGATGATAACGTTGCTATGTTTCTGCGTCTGTTCCCAACCTGCTTGATGCTAATCAAACAAGGTGTTCAGTGCTGGGAATCAAGGTGCATCTGCTGTGTCTGATGGGCCACCACCACTCTTTATTTAATTAATGTGGAGCTCATACATTTTTGTTTTTCAATGTTAAGATGAGTTCAAGTTCAAGTTCAAGTTATCTTTATTAGTCAAATGCACAAAATAACAGGCAAAGCAGTCATAGCTGGCAATTAAATGTTTGTGTTCCAAGCTCTCCTTAACAATGCAAAAATAAAAAATAGTATAGAAGATAAGAGTAACAACGTACAGTGCAATTAAGAACCAAAAGTTTAAATAAAACTAGAATATATGTACAGTGTGTGTGTATATATATATATATATATATATATGTACAGAATATATATATAACATATGAGACTTTGTACTGGTGCTCAAACCGTTTTGAAGGAGGAGATTGTTTGTTTTTTCTCTCCTGCAAACTCAGAGGAAGTTCTCAATTGACATGGGATTCTTTTAATCACGTTGATTGGCTACTTTTCTCAAAGAGAGATGAATGATTAAAAATCTCGGCTTTTGCTTTTCAGTTCCTCCTTTATTAGGTTTTTTTCAGGAAAATGACCAAGTAAATGTTTATCAGACACACTCGCCCAGTCTGACATGTCAGTTTTTGTTTTTAAATCCCTTATATAAAAGCTATTTTAAGACCTGAACCCAAATGCACATACAGTGTGTAATTCTACAGATGGTTGTAATCTGCACACAATGCCGTCTGTCCTTCCCTCCCTGTGAGCCATCACCTCTCACCTCTGACCAGGGAGAAGTCAAACTGTTGGGGAAACCCAAATATCCTGTGTGCACACACCAGGGATGGATTGTCAGGCCGTGCCTTTTCAGGCCACACACACCCCAGAGTGTACAATGCAAATACAAGCTCAGATAGTCCATGCACAATGCAAAGATGTGTACCAAAACAATCCTTCCTTCCTTAATCAGATAACATGTTAAGGGACCGGAAAGAGGCAATTCTTCTGCTGTTTATAACCACTTTTTGTCAACAGACCAGTAAGTAGAGCTCAAACTAAAACTGTAGTTCTACAAAGCCACCTGGCTATACTTCTTCAAGTAGGAGTTTACATAATAGTATAAAAGAGTAGCAACGAAAGCTTGGAGACGGCCTTAGTCTTCAAAGAAACATAACACAAAACAGACCGTTTGAGCTGTGTGTGACGTGTGCTGTATATGTATGAACAAAGTCCAACTGCCATTCTCTGCACGGTTAACCTCTGAAAGGTAATCTTTAATGGGGCGGCAGTAGCTCAGTCCGTATGGACATGGGTTGGAAAACGGAGGGTCGCCCGTTCAAGTCCCGATGCGACAAATATATGGAAGTTGGTCTGGTAACTGGAGAGGTTCTGCCTAGGTGCCCTTTAGCAAGGACCACCCAACCACTCTGGTGCGCTCCCTGCATAGCAGCCCCACTCTGACATATCTCCACTAATGCATGTCCACAGGTCCTGTTTGTGCATGTGTGTGATTCAGGCCCATGTGTGTGAGAGGCATGTCTCTAAAGTAACAGAATGTAAACCAGAATTTACCTCAGGGATTAATAAGTTTAGAAATTATTATTTTTTTTAAAGTAATTGGTCTTTTTTTTTTTAAAAACTGCACCTTTTTTTTTCAGGAGATTTTGTTAATTTTGTGACCTGTGAAGTGTGCTTGACAAAAAAAAACTGTACTATTTGTAGTCATATACTGACAGCAGCACAACAAGGAGACAGCCATGAGTTACACAATATACAACATGATAAAGCAATGAAAAAAAAGGCTGCTCGTAGGATTGTGTGTGTTTTGACTGAAGCCTGGAGTTTGTGTTTGGCTGCTAGACCATGAGTGTGTGTTGATGACGAGCTGGAGAGACCTTGTTGTGTATTTAGGCATTTGATAAAGTATAAACACAGCATCATCCAGCAGATGGTCTGGGAATTAGCCAGTGTTTCTTTTTTTTTTTTGAGAGGTTGCTGAGGCTCCTTACATGAACATGAGTGGGTGGTTATTTGTTTGTGTGTCTGTGTGTTAGAGATTTAATATCTATTTCTTATGTGTGCTGGATTGACTTGAACTTTATCCCTGACTTACTTCCCATTGTGAACACGAGCACATCAATGACCAGCCTGCATTGTCTTTCTAACCAGAGGGGGGCGTCGCAGAAGAAACAGGCCACATTGAGACCACCACCCCGCAGACTTTGCATTACACACTCGCCAACCAGCAGGTCCAGTTCCACCGCATTGGCGAGGACGGACAAGTTCAGGTGGTGAGTGTCAGCAATTCAATCTTTCTCTTTACAAGCAGCAAATGTCATTTACTGTCTAGCAGCAAGAGTCTTCATCATCCCTTTATCCTCTACCTCTACATGCTCAATAAGCTCTCTTTTATGATATTTCTGGGATTGGATGACCTCATACATCCACCAAGACCAAAGGTCATATTCAGGACCAATACTTTGGTATTGGCTGGCAATCAAAAAGGAAGATGCTGGGTCTCATATTTACTCTTCCATGTGCTCTGAAACCACCCAGAATACACATTTTACTGAATACCTCAGGGACCCATCGAGATATTGTTGGGCCTTGTCATGTCCTCTCACTATAAGTCAACACCTCTGTTTTGCATTTATGTGCTGAGCAAAGACATACATGAATACATAAATGAACAAAGTAAAATAATACACAAGTGTCAAGTATATGTTTTTTTTAATTGAGGTCTTCTGACTTAAACTGAGAGTAGCTCCTTTACATTCTGTGCATTCAATCAGCCAATGAAAGACACACACAAGCTGTGAGACAATGAATGGGTTTTCATGGGGGAAGTCAATTAGATTTTCTCTCTGTAGCACTACAAATGATTTTTTTTGTTGTAAATAGCAGTGTGACAGTAAACAACTTTAATATGTGATTGTAATTACAACACATGATTTGATTATACTAAGTGAGCATTAGAGAAGTCATTTTCATTCTGCTGGGAGGTACACCCACTGTATGTAATGACACTGATACAAGCTGCCTCATAATTTACAGCATAGCGTTTTACTGCTGTTAAAAGATTCCTACATGATGCATGGGTTTGGAGGTCCTGATGATAGGTGACTGGAAGATATAATAGAAAGAGGGTGGACAGGCAGGATGAGAAGTTCTGCAGAAGGTGGAGGACAGGGAGAGACCGATGATTGTCAGGAGCTTGCTGTGCAGTTATTACCCTCTCGACACTCTGCAGGCTATTAGAGGTTACAGCTGAGCCTCAAATTTATGAGTGCTGCTAATACAGCAAAGAGCATGGCATCAAGTATACTTACTGTGTATGGTTCAGTTCTGCAACCATTGTGTCTGACAATTGTTTGGCTGAAAAATGTATGAAACATCCTTTATATGTAGATGTCGAAGTACTTGAAAATAGTGTCAGAGGTTTAGTGAAAAACACGGTTTTGCCAATTTCATGGTTTTTTAAATATTATGTCCGACTGTCTCTCATCCTTCATCTCTTCCTCTCAGATTCCACAAGGACAGCTGCACATTGCCCAGGTGCCTCAAGGAGAGGAGGTGCAGATCACACAGGACAGTGAGGCAAGTGTGTGTGTGTGTGTGTGTGTGTGTGTGTGTGTGTGTGTGTGTGTGTGTGTGTGTGTGTGTGTGTGTGTGTGTGTGTGTGTGTGTGTGTGTGTGTGTGTGTGTGTGTGTGTGTGTGTGTGTGTGTGTGTGTGTGTGTGTGTGTGTGTGTGTGTGTGTGTGTGTGTGTGTGTGTTTTTAAGGGGAGAAAAGAGCCGCTCCTTTTCTTGAATCATTCTTCTTGGTGTATTACATTTCTTTGCAAACATGTCAGTCAGGAGAATTAGTCTCCAAACAAGAATATAACTGTTACAGTGAACTCATGCTTGTTTTTTTTGGGGGGAAGAAGAATAAATACTTAAGTGTGGGAGATTCAGTTTGTTTCTTTGGAAAGTCCGGTTTTCTATTTGGTCAACTTCTTGCAAGCTGATGACTTGCAATATTTGACTGGCCATGAGAAATATGAAATATGTGGCAGCATATAAATTCAACAAACGCTCGATCGCCCTGGGACAGGAAGAGTTTTCACCGTGAATACACGTTTTGAGAACTACATAAATTTAGCTATAACGTTTTAATTGGCTGACTCCCAATTTTTGTGACTGTAAGTGAATCTACATATGAAAGAAGAAAAGGGAAGAAACATTTTAAACTCAAATTTTTCATCTGTCAAATATATTGAGTTAGACTCTTAAAACATTGATATGTCCTTTGAGCTCTGTATGTTTGTGTTGGTCCATGTTATTGGCAATCCCATTGAAGCATAACCTACCCGAGTAATACCTGACAACATTTAAGTCATCAGTGAATTTTTTTAGCAAAAACAGATGTTCTGTGTTGAGCATGTTAATGTTTATATATCCGCCTGCTTATGCATGGGGTTATGCTCTTTGTTTGCATAAAATGCCCAGATGTCTCTTGTCCCTCAGCAGGCATGCACTCTGTATGCACCTATGCACACACAGCACTAGCCTGCCAGCTGAAAACAAAACCTGACTTTGCGCCACACTGACTGCTGCAGAGGAATTTCCACTTAAGCATCATTGTTAGTGACTCTTCATGGATGTGGGATAAAGATTTATTCTGAGGAGCCAGTCTGTGTACACACGTACACATGTAATTGCATACTGTAAATGATATGTTCCACACATGCATGACATTTGTGCAAAAAGCAGTTGACACCTTGACCAAGTGTTTTTCCTCATTTCCTATTCAGTTGTGCTAAATGACACTCAAGAAGAAGAAGTGCACCATTGAGTGAGAGAGACGGAGTGAATTGGAGGCAGAAAAGCTTTAAAGTCTTTCCTGCTCTTTGTGGCTGAGCCCAGATTTTCTTCTCCTCTCTCCTTCCTATTGCTTGATATTGTTTGTTTTTTTGGAGTTCAAAGCTTAGCAACAAAATCCCAAATCTCTCAACTGCCACTCATGGAATATGTTTTCATTAGGATCCGGCCCCTTTCTTCAAAGACATGGGTTTGTGCGTGCTTGAAAAGGAAATGAGCTGTTTGAGAGATTACACTGCTCTCTGGCCATATGGCAGCGCAGCCAGCGCTTGGTATATACATGAAATAAAATTAGCAAGAGAACACAGCTGAAGCCTGGGGTTGGCTAAATATGGCTCATATGATGTCCTCTCTTTTGTGGTCTTGTTAACATCACTGTGGGTGTTCAGATCCTTTCTGATGGTCATTTTATCTTGATGAGACAGTGATTAGGCTTATTCCTGCCTGGACCAGTTTCTGTTTTTCTTTACAGCAGTATCAGTGTTGCCAGAAATGGCAGAAAAGCTGACATTACATCCGATTTTGCACTCTTATATCATCATTTGCAAACACTTCTCTGCCAAACCCAACATGCTGTAATTCCTGTGTAGACCATTTCGACATGCAGATATCAACTCTGTCACTCTGCAACATTGTTCATTGGCTAAACAATGTTCTTGTGACAGTTCAGATCTTATCACCGTCAACTCAGTACAGGTTATGGCAGATGGGAAAGCAAGGACATTAGCAACATGCACCTGTATGGTATCTTTACGTTTTGTGGTTAAAGTTGTTAAAGAGCTGCTATTGGATGATTTGGCATCAGGACTTTGACATGACATCTCACTTCTCTATTTCAGGGAAACCTTCAGATCCACCAGGTACATGTTGGACAGGATGGACAGGTAAGAACACATTCTGAGTAAATTAAATATGAGTTAGAATACAATAAGAAATCAATCAATCAACCATACATTCGCATCAATTCTTAAAGGGTCTGAATTAGAGTAGTTTTATGTAAGAAAAAAAAGCACAACTTTCACTATGTGTCTAATGTCTCATGGATACAACACTCAGGAGTTTTTGCTGTATGGACAGTGATTGTACTATATCTCTAAAAACACCTGGTGTCATCTTTGTAAGGGGAGGTCACGTTCTTACCTTCCATGATTGTGTCACTGTGAGTGTAGCTGTCCTGATGTTGGGAATATTACGTGAAAAATATTAAGATTGATAAATGCTTCCTTTTATTAACGCTACATTCACCTCTCACCACTTAGACACTGCTCACATGTGAATATTTCAACCTTTACTACAGTTTCAGATTATTTATGGGGCAAACTCTTAATATGTAAAGACAAGGCTAAACAGCAGTGCTCATCCTGACACACAGCCTTACAAACACCATGGCAGTACAAGGCCAACAAAAAGCGCTGCTCAGGCAGGTTGTGGGAAAGAGCCATAAGAAATACAAGATCACTGTCTAGTGAGGCAGAAAATATAACTTACTGTATATATTTTTGGTATAATAAGGCATTTGAAAATGTCCAGCTGCATCTTCCTGTAAACAAACAGAAGTTATGTTTACAGTACATTCAGTGTTTCTCAACCTTTTGAGCTGCAACATATGTGTTGAATTATTTTCCAATGTAAAGGCTTTCTCCTAAGGCATAAACAAAACCAATTTTCAAGTATTTAAAATGATCCAGCATTGTTCACAAATATATTTAATAGCTAGCAGTCTTCTTCTTCTATACTAGCTTTGCTGCTGCTCTACTGCGTTCCTCCAACCATTTATTAGTGGAACAGTGAGAAAGGACCAACTCAGAAAAAAAATCTGCAAGATTGTTTTTTTTTTTGCGGTTGGTTCTCAGTGTGTGTCAATTGAAATGTATGGACAAAGTAGCACATTACCACAATGGATGATGTGAGTCATCTTGGATGCAGTCACAAGACTTGTGAGATACGACAATGTTTATTTTGTGACTTGCGAAAAACATCATTCCTTTCCTATATTGCGGTATCATTGTGTGGTATTGACATGTCTAATAATAGTGCTTCTGGCAAATATTTTCTTAATTTGGAAGATGCAGTTCAACACAAGCATTATTCAAATTAAGAAATTATCAAAATATAAGCAGGAAATTAGTACTGAGGCCACAGACATGCGTAGGAAAGTAAAAATGTTGCAGAAACAAAACAAACATTTAAAGGACCAAATAAAAAAAGAATTACAAGACAAAAGAGTAACATCAAGATGATGAGGTCATGATAAGTCTGACACAAACCAAAACAAACATACAAATGTTTGCAATTTCAAAATGTTATAATCTAACATTCTATTGCCTGCAAAAAAATCTAAACTAATTAGAAACATACACCCACACTGCTGTAAACGCACATAAATGGATACTTTCCTGTGTTTCCGCCCAGTGTCCATGTCTTTGTTTATCCCTCTCCTTCCTCCATCTCTGTCTGGGATGTTTTGGATGGAGGGCCCTTCCTGTTTCTCCTTTCTTTTCTCTGAGATCCAAGTGAGTCTGGATCAAAGGAGAGCCAGCATGTGTATGACCATTGAAGGCCACATATGGACGCCTGAAGACCAACACATAATAATTACACATTCATGAGTTCATCGTGTTCAGCTAGCAGCAAGGCTTTAGGGAAGGAAGTACTGTCTCACGCTGCCTGTCTCGAGAGCTACACTGTTTTGTGAAAATCTCTCTTATTGGCTGTTTCATAAAACACCTGTCTTAACAAAAAACAGAATGGCTTCATTAGGAATGATACTCATGACCTTACTTCTGAAGTCTGCTTCAATTCATGCTGGTTCTTGTCTCTTAGTCACCAAATATGATAACCACCAATGTAAACAAAAGCAAGTAAACATACAACAATCAGACATAAGCACTGGCAGAAAATGACCTCCTCTTTTGTTTAGCTTGTTCTATGTACCAAGTGGCCAATGTGTGAGTGCAGTTGGGTTGCCAAAAAAAGAGTTATCCAGCACAGAAACTTGTAAGAAAGTTGTACTTTTCTCAACATCTGTTGCAAAACAATGCACCATCATCATCAGCACTCGAGAAATGGCATTCTCTAAGAGCACATTTCTGGAAGATTATTTGATAAGTTGTGCCATGCTTCTGTTTACCAGGCACTTGGGAAGTAAATGAAGGAGGATTAATTACCACCATGAGACATATAACATGATTTGCCATTCTCACAGTGCCGTAAATTGTGCCATGTTTTGGCCTACTGATAAACAACCAAATGTTTGGAACCACTATTCGAACCATTCTTGTCGGATCATAATTCATCCTCTCGTCAGCTGTACCGTAGACATCGTACCCATCCAACACGGCCTCTTGTTTTTAAAGCCCCTGTAAAGTTTCTCAAAGACATTGCATCTTACTTCCAAGGGTCGTAGTAAAAATATTCAAAAATGTCGTCTATGGCTATAAATTTAAACTTTCTGAGTTGTATTTGCCTCTCAGTTGGCTCAGTCATGTTCACTCTACTCATAACTCATACGTTTCTGGCATGAACTGAAGTCTGAATACGGCAAAGTCGTTTTTTCCATCGACGTTATGCCAATGAAAAGACTTTAGAGGATTGAGAATGTGATGGAAGTAACTACCTATTTGTTCACTCAGTATGGTAGCGCCTGTTTTTGTTCCAGTGCAGTAAGTAGTAATGTGATTACAATACTTTTGCTTTCTAGGGACCTTTAACGCTACGCTTTAAAACTCAGCCTTCATATGTTACACATATGTTAGAATATGGGCAGATGGATGAGTTACAAGCCACCCACAGCCTGGAACAATGTACTTTCGGCTGCTAAGTTCTCCATTTAATGGTCTGATTAAGACCTCAGTCATCCGATTCCCTCATACGTTCACGGCGCCATTGGCTATCTATGTACTTGCACATTTATAATGTGTGAATGCATCTGCTTTATATGAGCTTTTTTGTTGTTGTTTGTATTGTTTTATGGGTTGTTGGGCTCTGTGTGTGTTTCCAATTGATTGAGGTAGTCACCACACATCCTCATGCTCCTTCTCTCTCACACACTCATAAACACACACTCATGCTTGTGTCCTCGGGTGACCTGCATGCTGAGCCTGACTGCAGCATTCCTCTCTGTCTCTCACTGGGATCTTGGAAGAAGTGTCGGGCAGCTTTTGGTTTAGATTTTGCACCACAACGCACATTTTGCAACTTTTATTCAAAGCAGTTGGTAGAGATTTTCCCTCAGATTTGTTATGTCTGTAGGGTACAAGTTATGCGGTACACAACATGCTTAAAAAAAAGCTGTAATTGAGAATACATCACGGGATGTATAGGCACTGGTTCTTTGAAGAACGTCACCAAAGCACTGCAGGACTTGAGAACAAAGAACTTCACAAAGGCCTCTATTCCCATGGCAGTGTCTGGGAGCCTAGTCCAATAAAAATCTTTTTTATTTTTCCTTTCTTTTTAGCTCATGCTTTGTTTGGTTCAGTAAAATGATATAAGTGCTCTGCCAAATCAAACATACTGTGACTTATTCTTTAACCGTCATGTTGCAGGTCAAGCTTTTCACACACATGCAGTTGTACTACACATGACAGTGGTAGGTTCTCCTCACTTGTCTGTTCTCATAGCCTCTGGGAGCAGAGCTGGGTCAGCTCCTAAATCTGATGAATCCCAGATAGAACACAAGGAGACTTGAAGGGAAACATATAAGTGATAGCACTTATTCTTAGATAAATCACTATTACCAGATATGCTTGCAGACAAATGAAATATTATGTCTTTATCATGATGAGTGTAATGTATCTTGGACTAGATTTTAAGAGCCTTGGACAAATATAACACAGGTCAGACTTATTTCTGACTTTTCTTAAAAATGTGTAATTTGTGTGTTTACAGAGAGGCTTAGATTAAATAGGCTACGTATGATGTTTTTGTAATCTGGCAGAGTATTGCTGAGGTTGTGTTAGTGTAACCTAGCATACGCAATTCATCATTTTTGTTCTATCCCCCGGGCTGTTTTCCCGTCCTCTCAGTCTCACTCTCCTTGTTGTTTTTTCGTTTTAATCTTCCCTGTGCTGTGTAGCTGTAGCTGCTTACACCTGTCTTTTAAAGGCCACCTGCCTCATCCAATCACTTCAGGTCACACGGGCTGTCAGAAGTGTACACCCCCAGGTGGAATATTGGCTGCATTAGCCTCCATCAGAGACTCTTAACAAATGCACACCATTCTGTGGCTGTCTGCACATTCGCTTTTCCCGTTGAGATTCATGATCAAAGTGGAGATTCTGAAGTGGCCTGGCTCCCATCGTTCTTTTGGGATCTTAGTTTTGGGTGGGGATTGGAGTTGTGTGAACTGTTTTATGAGGTGTCTTGCTCAGTGTTTTTTATACTTACTACTTTTGCTATGCTCTTTTTTGTTGTTAGCATTTTCCTCATGAATTCTATTCCTGGCTAAAGATTTAAAACATTTAGCATTAAGACCTGATAATGATGGGGCAATCAGTGCTGTGTGGTCACCACTGCTAAAAGATATATCCATCCATGTCTGGTTATTAAATCTGCAAATCAATACATTTGTTATTTTAAAAAAAAGTCTCAAGGTAGAGTCAGTAATGTCTGTCAGCAAGTTAACTAGCTGTTAGCATGTTTCCCTTTCTGCTGCACAACAGAAGTAGCTCCATATTGGGATTATTTGAATAAGACATACGAGAGAGAATTTGAGGGTCTTGTGAAATGAAAAGGGGGCAACCACCTGCTCCAACTTTACTGACAAAATAAATGGAGTTGTCTTTGAAGTGAGAAGACTTGCTGTGGTAAAGTGATGAGCAGGCTGCAGACTCATCCTTCTTTCCACCCTGTGTTAAGTCATTATGCTCGTTATTGTCACCTG